GTCCATATACTTTAAACTCTGGTTCATTGTAATCCATGTACGTTTAAAATATTCGTTTTTGTCCCTGTACTTTAAAAAAATGATCATTTTAGTTCTTTTAATTTTATTTTGAATCTCATTTATATCACTAACACTACATTTAATATATTTTTTAAAATGTAACTGTGACTTTATATTAAAGGTTCTCCATTATGTGTAGAATTTGTGTTAAAATTTCGCATGTAGAGACCAAAATAGTTATTTTTTAAAAATACAAGAAAATGAACATTTAGAAACTACATAAACTAAAATAAATCAAAGTTAAAAATACCTAAACTATATTTTAAGAGTACAAGATCAAAATAGTATTTTAACCTAAAATTAATGTAAGTTTTTAATCTTTTATCTACCTTTCTGCCTTATTTCTAAGGCCTTTAAGTGGAGATTGTTTAGTTTGAGGTAAATGTGGGTTCAACTTTTAACCCAGCTAGAAAGTATCTAGATTTTGTTGAGTCATTCCTCTTTTTGTGTTTTTGCGATTTTCTTCTTTTTCATGAGTGTCTATTTTGTAGCTTTTGTAGGTTAGAATGTTTGTGTTATTTTGGTATTAAAAAAAGTGTTGAAATCATTGTAGGGTATTAAATTTTCATATTACTGCAAAACTCTTTTTATAAAATATCACCCATATATTAATATTACTAATATAGACATAATATTAATATTAATAAATTTCAACTTATTTTGAAAGAGTGAGATGCTTATTATTTATTTTAAATATTTGTTATCAATTACATTTCCATCAATGTCGATATTTAAAACTTTTGAGTCTTAGTACCACTTAAAGCTAATATACCAAATTTAAAGTATTTCAAATTGGATGAATAAAACTCAAAGGCATGAGTCCCTTTTATAGCATTTGGAGTATACCTCCACTTCATATCTTTCCGACGTGGGGTAATTGAACTAACMATATTTTGCCAAAACTCAACAATTAGTTATGATTATCTTCAAATATGAACTAGGTTAAATTTTTTTTTTTTGGTCCTTTAGTTCATTTTGGTGGGCCTGTTCTTTTAAATTTGGTTCATTTTAGTCTTTATACTTTCAAAACATTCATTTTGGTTTCTTTACTTTTTAAAAGTGACCATTTTGGTCCCTATATTCGAAATTTTATTATAAATTCTATACCTAACGAAAACTCTTTAACATAAAGTTACGGTTGCGTATATTGAGTGTAGCGTCATGTTGAATTGTGATCGAAAATTGAGATAAAAATAAAATGAAGAGATCAAAACGAGCACTTTTTAAAAGTATAGGGACCAAAATAAATGTTTSGACAGTACAATGACTAAAATAGATAAAACTTAAAAGTACAATGACCAAAATGAACAAAAACGGAAAGTATAAGAACCAAAAAAATATTTTAASGATTCACCTATATAATTGGGTATTGTGGTTTTTTCTTTATTCTAGGATTCCTATGTTAAAGTTGTTATATGACTTCTCTAACTCTTTATTAGTGTACTCACCGTTTCAAAGAAAAATTGTTCTTTTATCTTTGCTCTTTATGTAGCATATTTTATTATCATATCTCAGGCATATGCTTGTCAAATGATTTTTTACTTTGCAACTTATRTTAACAAAGACTAATTAAAGTTTTAAAGGGAGACTTATTATTATTATTATTTTTCGAGTTTTTTTAATATGAAAGCATCAAATAGAGAGATTGCTAAGATTAAAAGTTTCTATTATAATTTTCTTTTTTGGTTAACATCGTTCTATTAAGTCAATGAGGACAACCAGATACCTAGCACAACATTGATAGTCTTCCTTTGGACTGACAATATCAACTTACAAGTGATACTCTCAATGTGATGATTAAACATTSATAGCCAATCATGTCAAGTGAAAGCCTTTTTTTGGACGGACAATCACTCACATGACATAATTTTATATTATCCCTATTTATTACCATCTAACTATATGTGGACTTGTTATTTGGCAAAACTGAAGTCTTCCTTTAGACTGACCACAGAGCACATAAACACACAAGCCCACAAACATCTGATAATTTTGAAAGATATCAATATGAGAAATCAGAGGCTATTTTGGCAGTTTGATTCATCAAAACAACACTAACCAAAAGAATCAGAAAATTATGCAACATATATAGCTTTAATTATTATTAATTTTATCTTTATGAAAACAACTTGACATAGGCTACGAGCACTAATTTGTAGCGGACAATAGTAAAATATCAACAATTCATTCCATAATTGTAAATGTATTTGTTATTTGGTCAAATTGTGACTTTCCTTTGGGCCAATCACAATTGCATAAATAACAATACTCAAATCTCACAATTTTTTCTTAATTATTGTTAATAGTTTCCATATGAAAATAAAATACTTCAGTTATTTCCAACAATTAACAATAATATTTTTAAATAAAAACATTCATAGAAGTTTAAAAATTGTGCCAAGTATTGATTAAATTGTTAATTTATTCACCATAATCATCAACCTTTAATTTGCACAATTTGAAAAGGAAAATTAAACCGTCATAAACATCTTATTATACCAATGACAGATTTATAAATAATTATTTAAAGAATTAAATAAATAACCAAATTAAAAAAAACAAATAAAATAAAATAAAATAAAAACACTTCATGTTGCAGTGGGCTATTCCTTTTAATGTTGCTAGGGAACTGCCAATCCTAGCACCTTTCTCTCATCTGGCACTCTTGTAGTACCGCAACTTTAAGGCGGCCAAACCGTTTTTTTTTTCTTTTTTAATTTGAAACTAAATATCTACAATCTTGATTTGTTAAAAATATCAAACTTTATCAAATCAATAAGCATGAATTCGAACAATTTTAAAATTAAATCATGCAAAATTGTTCAATAATTCATCAATCCAAACAATTCTAATAACATGTTGTTTACAATCCAAACAATTCTAATAACATGTTGTTTAAACAAATATGTTATTTAAAATAACTACATATTTATAAGTAATTTTAAAGATCCAGTAATCATCCATGCAAAACTATTGTCTGATACCACTTATTGGAAAAATTAAATAAATCCTAATTCATGATCGTTCTAAAATAAGAGCCATAAAATTCCAGAACAATCAAGACCAAGGATCTAAGCATGGAAATATTAGAATTACCTGGAATCATTAGATAAATTGATCATATCTACTCAAAGCAGCATAGTGTATTAGGGACCATAACCATATATTTATAGGTTAATCCTAGGGTTTCCCATAATCCGCTAAGATTAATGGGTTAGTTTCTACTCAGCAAGCCACACCACTAAATGGAAGTCATGGGCCCATAATCAACAGATCACTCATATGGCCATTAAATAGTCCAAATATTATTGCTCTTTAATTTGTTACCTACATATGAATTAATTATTAAATTAATTCCAACAATCATTTGATAAAATATATATATTCATGTATTCTCACACTTGGTTGTAAGATGAAAATCTGATATGATTTGATATGATTTAGGTTTTCTATTAGGAACTAGAATTACATTTGATTTAGATGTCGTATTCCTATTATAGTTTAGGAATTATTATATTATCAATAAGATGGTAGGTTTGTATCGAGAGTAATAAAAGGTAATTCAAAGAAATAATTTGTTATTATGTTTGTTTATGCAAGGATATGCACAACAGTGTGTTCCAGATTGTAGCTCGAACTCGGCCTCCGGACTGACCTGAACACTTGGGCGGACCTGCACAAAAAGGTGAGCACTCCGACGATCAAGTCAGTATAGGTCGGATTCCCAGTTTAGTTCGAGGCCAGAAATCATCATCATACCTGATCGGGGAGTGAGGCCCTCTATTTATGGGTGGTAGTCCCGCTAATCTTGCGACGGTTACATTTGGTAATCTCGGGACCGTCGGTTACACCCGGTAATCTCGGGACCAACGGTTACGCCCGATAATCACGCCGCAGACAGTTGCTCACATCGGCCCCTACCAAGCTCCCCGGTAGGTCAGACCTGGGCCAGGTTTACCTCGGCCCTCATACTTAGCATTTGTCGACGTTAGTGGAGGCCATCTCGGCTATCCGAGCTGGGCATGACTCATGAGCCATCTTGGAGAACCAATAGGGGTCTTCCACGTGTCCAGGGTATTCTCTTCCCCAAACATTGGCCCCCTCTCTGTCTGGTCCGATCTCGACCTGGCAGAGAAGTTCATTCGACTTGCTTTGGACACGTGGCGACTTCCTATTCGTGGGAAAATACAACCGTCGCAGAAGATTATCGTCGGAATATTCAAATATTCCGACGCTTCGGATCTCAGGGAGGATCCTAGCCGCTTGTTGATTACACGTGTACGGTGGGGAAATTCTTCCGACGGGCTATAAGTGCCCCCAATCCTTCAGGTCATACCTTACGTTCCCTGAATTCTTAAAGTTCGATCTGAAGGCAGCTCGAACCCTTGGTAGGTCGGTCTCTTCCCTCTCTCTTTCGAACGTAGTTGCCATGTCGTCCTCTTTTAGCAGCAACTTAGGATCCGATTTAGCTCGTAGGTTAGGGTCCAAGCTCGAGGAGATAGAAAACTTTAGATTCTCCGATGACGGGGAGGATAGTGACGCCTCCACTTCAGGTCAGGGTTTAGAATACCCCTCTAGGATACCTGAGCACTACCTCGGATCCCTTCGTAGGGGGTTCGCTATCCCTGAGAACATCCTCCTCAGGCTTCCGGAGGAGGGGGAGAGCTGACAATCCTCCAGAGGGATGGGTCACTCTCTACTTCAAAATGTTTGAGTACGGCCTCAGACTTCCCCTTCACCCTTTTGTCCAAGAATTTCTCTTCCGGACTGGGTTGGCTCCGGCTCAAGTGGCCCCCAATGGGTGGGGCGTCATTTTCGCTTTGGCCATCATTTTTTGGCTACGAGCTCGGGATAGTGAGGAGGCCGAGCTGTTGGACGTAGACCAGCTCCTCGCGTGCTTCGAAGCTAAAAGGATAGCTAAGAAGCCTGGTCGGTTCTATATGTGCGCAAGGAAAGGAGCATGCGGTATAGTTAAGGGGCCGACCTCCATCAAGGGATGGGTGAGGAAGTGGTTCTACGCTTCCGGGGAATGGCTCGCAAAGGACGAGTCAGGTCGTTCCTTCTTTGACGTCCCCACTAGGTTTGGGAACCTAGGTACGGAGTAGTTCTTGCTTTTCGTAATTTTCTTTTCTATCATTCAGGTCTAACTCGGATTTTGTCTCCGTGCAGTTTCAATCCGACCAGTCCCCGAGCTTACGCAAGCCTCCTTCGACACGCTGAAATACTACAAGGAGCGCTTTCCGAGGGGTAGGAAGGTCGGAACCCTGGTGACYGACGAGCTGCTGCTTGAGTCCGGGCTGCTAGATTACAACCCTGCAGTTCGTCYCATTGAATCCTCAAGGCCGAACTCTGAACTTGGTATGYCGAGCTTGCCTCCCCCCTTTTTCCTCTAACCTTGTGTTGACCCCTGTTTTTATTTCGCAGCCATGGTTTGCGGATTTGCAAGCAGCGTGAAGCGCAAGTCCAAGGGCCGAGCCCATGGACTTAAAGTATGCCTTCACTTAGCCTTAGTTTAGCTTTTCACATGCCTACTTTGAAGCATCTGTGCTGTGCATGTGATTTCATGTCCATGATGATTATAAGAGATTGTTGAGTTTTCTGTTCTATGCCTGACTAAGCTTTGAGCTATTTCCTTTGTTTATGTGATAAACTCATTTTCTTTTATGTCTTTTTGATCTTTACAAACTTTAAGCTTTTTCTTTGCCCCTATATAGGAAGTCCTTGTCCTTTTTACTGTTAAGCCTTTTTCATCCGATGCAAAAGTCTTTTCCCAGTGAGGACACTGTCTCTCTTAAGTTTGGGGGGGACAGTCGTTGTGTCAGTTGTTGTTTCAGAAAGATAAAGTGTTATTTATATTTGAAAACTCATGCTATTTTCTTTTGAAAAAGAGTCAGTTGGAAAAA